CGCACACACACACACACACACACTGCTATGTTGCTTGTGGCTTTTATAGACAATATCACTAGGGAAATATCACTGAGAATAATTAATTTTTAAATTACATTGTTCGGTCCACAAGTTAAAGAAAAATCTTAGTTTAATTGTTGGAGATTATGTTTAGCATGTTGCTACTTTTCTTTTGTAAAAATATGCTTACAATCAGATTAAAAACACAAACAAACAAAGACATCTGTCTGCATGTTGCCTAATTCATAATTATCTGCAGATTCAAGGAAAGATGAAAACTGTAGTGAACAAAATAACGTTTTAGGCTGGACAGTTATTGATAAAGATTTAGTCCTCACAACATTTTCTATTGTTGCCATATGGTCTTTAGTTTTGCATAGTCCAGAAGTTGTAGTATAGTATAGCATAGCCTAGCATAGTATCAAACAAACCCTAGAAGAGGTCCATGTTCACTGTTAAACCAATTATTCACTTCTCACACTCTTCATCAGACGAGATGTTTGACAGGACTGCTGGAGAGCTGACTTTGACTGATTTGAAATGTTAACAAACTCAGTGAGCAAGAAGGAGACAGACAAAAATGAGGGGTGAACAAAGGCTTGTTTTAGAGATATAAAGAAAGAATATAACAGTAGAGAGAAAGAGAGCGAGATCATGACTCTTACTGCATGACTGCTTGGCAAAACCCACTTTGGATTTCCATGTATGGGCTCAGTCAAGACTCTCACTCCACGAGGAGTGTTGTATGAGTTTTCTAACATCAATGTTTTTAACATGCCTAACATTCTTTAGAATGTTTAGTGAAGGTTTTGTACACTAGTGAGTCTAATTTTCGCCTTCTCTCTTAGCAGACTTTTATGTTTTGTACTGTTTTGTTTTGAACTGTATCTTCAGAAATGGCTGAAAATGAAACTGGCGAAACTGTTGATGTGCGTACTATTCTCGAAAGGTTCCATATGTCTTAAGGATATTAATGATTGTTTATTCTTAAAAGAAAGAAGAGAGACTTTCTTTTTGGTCCTCTATGAATAAAAAAAAAAGTTTTGTGTTTTGTGGTTGCAAGTGATTTTGAAGCATCTGAAGGTTAGGCAGGTCCTCCACCATAGAGGTTACATTCAGTCACTGAGTTTTTTTGCAGTCATGGAAAATTTGTGATTAAAAATCATGAAGCTATAAAAATAAGCATTGGTGTCTTGGATGATGGAACATTCTAACCTCCAAGCACCTCTGAGTCGCTGGTGGATATTGAACCCAATTGGTGTCCTAAAGGACTCAGTGCTTTCATAACCTGTTCAGAAACAGTTACTGCTGATTTCTGCTTGTGCACATCGCTTATGTCATGTTGTGTTAGGTTCATCCATCATAATGGCGTATTTCTGTTCTCTATGCTGTGCTTGTTAAAGTCCCCATGAAATCAAAATTAAAGTTTTTTGGGTGTTAGTATCAATATGTTAGTCTTAAGGTTATCTATAAGGCAGTGTGCTCCAAAACAGTGACAACATTCGCATTTAGAAGATATAAGCATTCAAAGCTTGCAGTTCGTCACTTCCGCCAAAACGGCTCAACGATTTTTTTGACGTCACATCGTACTTCAGCTTCTCATCAAACTTTCTGTCCAATCAAATGCTCTCTAGAATCCGAAGTGCCCGCCCCCTACACTATAAAATAGACGCTGAAGCCGCGGTTGAAATCGGTCACTTGTCCACAGAATTAGTATTTTCTGTATAGTGAATGGCTTTCCAACTTTCACGGAAACGCTTTCCATTGAGGAAAAAAAGAAGTCTGGTTTCGCGCTGTGTCACGCTAACCACCGCACCGCGCACACACTCTGCTCCGGTCCAGAGACACTATAGCACGGAGCGGATCACATGCGCGAGTCAGCGCAGACTACAAAATTTATCGGAGCTATTTGAATTCTACACAGAATGCTATATTTTATAGCAATATGGATGAGATTGTGGCTGGCATACCCTGTCAAATGTGGCTTTACGGAGCTCAACGGCTCTGAACGGCTCTAGCCCAAGCTGTGATATAAACAAACGCTATTGGCTATTTTAAAAAGGGGCGGGGCTGCTTGATATGTCCCGCCCTGTCTTCCTGTTTCAGTTAAAATGACGTCAACACATAGAGTAACGCTGCATGTTTCTAAGCATTTCAGGGGACCTTTAAAGCAAGCATCATTGTTACGGTTCCACAATGGTTATTTGATCCCTTAAACTTTCTTGTGTGACTCATCCCACTCTGTACTGTATGTAGTACCATAGAATATGGAACCTGCAAATTCAGTCATTGAAAAGGTAGTATGTATTAAATTTTTTCCCTGTTTATCATGTCGCTATACAGCCTACCTTCATTTATCCAAGTTCTTTCAGCATGAAGAAATTAGGCTGGCGTTAAACTCCCTGCACTATACTACTTTATCTAATCTAATACTTTAGATTCACTTGCTTATTTAGGTCATTTATTACAGGCTGAAACAATGTTAAAGAGTGCAACAGTAACCTGTTTCTGTGCTTCTTTCTTTTTGTCTGCCTGGTTATTTTCAGCAGTGGTTGACAGTGTGAAGTGGTCTTATATTGGGTGATTTGTTGAAGCAGTGGAGGGCAGAGATGATCTGTTTCTTGAAGTGTCTTGAAGTTGTCAGGCCTTTAAACAGATACGTTTGATCCTGTGGCCCGAGACAATGTAGACTAAACATTATGAAACATGGAAGTGGGATGCTGTTGCAGCGTGTGTTTTGTTTCAGTGGTATCCTAAAGCATCTGCTCCGTCTTTGCCTTTACTCACTGCCTCTGTATTTGTCTAATAAACCTGTGATTTACATTTATGTCTTAACAAACACCTAACTGGATTTTGTCGGATCTGTACGTTAACTGTTAGTGTTTGTTGGGGAATTGTGAACAAATGTTATTTTCCCATCATTCTTAATCCAAACGCCAACTTCAGACCATTGGAAATGTTGCCCTTTTGGGTTAGTAAGGACCAGCTTGAACACTAAAACAGATTAAAATCAGTAATGCTCAGCATGGAGAATAAAGTATATGAGAAACACCTCCGTTTGACATCAGGATTACCTGCTACCATGTGCAGTGACTTACAGTATAATAAGTTTGTACGTTTAATAGGTTACCAACATAACATTACACTCTAAAAAATGCTGTTTGTAATTAATGGTACACTCTAAAAAATGCTGGGTTAAATATAACCCAGCGCTGGGTTATATTTAACCCAGCATTTTTTTAGAGTGTACCATTAAGCTCAGGCATGCAGAATATGTAAGGAACATCTTCTTTGTGAGAAGACTGCATTTTTAATCTAAACTTCTGTTTAATAGGATGTACAGTTTTAAGGTCTTAGGTCATGTCTAAAGTATACAACTCATGCTTTCAGATTATTTTTTTTTTGACCACTTGAATTTTTTGGAAAATTATTTTGATTTTGAAAAGTTTCGTTGGCTGAATACCCAGGAGCACAACAGTACAACCGACTGAATGGACTGTACTTCCAATTCTTGTAGTCTTATTGTCATGTCAAACTGTCTACTCCAAATACGTAGTTTTGTATATTCGGTTACCAATGGTGATTTGTTTATTTGTTGAATGTTTACATGAATAATTCCTGTTAGCCACTTAGTATTGCTTCCCTTTCTGTAGACACAAAACACAAGCTTGTGAGAGCAAGTCAGTAGATAACTTTGCTTTAAGAAAGTAATAAATATTCATCCCTAGCCTAATCTAGTACATTCTTTTTAGTAATTTGGTCAAACATTTCGACAAACACCAAGATGTATGGACATAATGACAGCATCTAAAATATGAAATTATTTACATATGCACAGCTTTAGAAATGCAATTATTTATTTATTTTTTTTTTTTATAAAAAAATTATATTATATTTATATTATAAATATATTTGCATTGTTGTGTTTACTTAATGCATTAAAAAATGTGATTGGCATATTCTTATATAATGTTTACATTTTAATTGTCTGTGCAAACATACAAATATGCAATGACCTCAAAATGTATTTGGACACTTAAGCAAACAAGCAAGCAACTAACTAACTATGCATTATCTAACAAAAATAAGAAAATAAGTGCCATTTATTTTAAGGAAATATGGCACAAAAATAATAATGAATAATGTTATTATACTAAAATTATTCAGAATAATGTTTTAGAAAACAAATAAATACATGTTTTGTTCAGAACAAAGACAGAAAGTCTTGACACTGGGTGTCAAACTTTGTTGAAAATGTTTATACTTTACATGATAAGCGACACCTGTGGTTACACTACTTGGATGTCTGTGAACTTGAGGAGAACTGACTTCATACAACCACACAAAAATTACCTTTAGACCAACTATTAATTAGTGTAAGTTAGTTGTAGCCCAGTTTTTGGGCCCACTGTACATGTACTAAAACCACATTTTTCATAAAAATACATGAAAATACTCATGCGATCACATTGCTTCAGTATCCAAAATTTCACAGTCAGTAGATTTTTCTTAATAGCAGGTTACATTGATCTTGCTGTGAGACTTAATTAGGGCTTGGATGTCTGAAGATTTTTGATTTATTATGAAAGTAAGTTAGGGAGATTTGATCCTCTCCATTATAGTCTCTGTTTATAAATTCAGCATGAGATCTGTTTTGCCCAAATTTTAGGGATTCAGGTGAAAGCTCACTGAAAGCCCATTTGGAGCCAGAAACAAAAATAGTTTTGTGTTGGAAAGAGGATGTTTTCATTTCCACGGCTACAAAGAAAGAGAGAGAGGAATGAGAAGAAAATAAGTGCCATTTATTTTAAGGAAATATGGCACAAAAAATGTTTCAGAATAATGTTTTAGAAAACAAATAAATACATGTTTTGTTCAGAACAAAGACAGAAAGTCTTGACACTGGGTGTCAAACTTTGTTGAAAATGTTTATACTTTACATGATAAGCGACACCTGTGGTTACACTACTTGGATGTCTGTGAACTTGAGGAGAACTGACTTCATACAACCACACAAAAATTACCTTTAGACCAACTATTAATTAGTGTAAGTTAGTTGTAGCCCAGTTTTTGGGCCCACTGTACATGTACTAAAACCACATTTTTCATAAAAATACATGAAAATACTCATGCGATCACATTGCTTCAGTATCCAAAATTTCACAGTCAGTAGATTTTTCTTAATAGCAGGTTACATTGATCTTGCTGTGAGACTTAATTAGGGCTTGGATGTCTGAAGATTTTTGATTTATTATGAAAGTAAGTTAGGGAGATTTGATCCTCTCCATTATAGTCTCTGTTTATAAATTCAGCATGAGATCTGTTTTGCCCAAATTTTAGGGATTCAGGTGAAAGCTCACTGAAAGCCCATTTGGAGCCAGAAACAAAAATAGTTTTGTGTTGGAAAGAGGATGTTTTCATTTCCACGGCTACAAAGAAAGAGAGAGAGGAATGAGAGAATGGCCTCACAGAGAGGGATGAGATTGGAATGTCTTACAACAGACAGAAAGAAAAAAAAAACTCCTCCGAAGTTTGACATCGCTTCAGATCAGAATAGCTTCATTGCCACCGTTGCAGCTCTAGGCTTGTGTTTATTGGCCTTGCCATCACATTGTTTCATGACAGCAATCAGATGTAAAATAAAAAGTGCCAAAAGTTATTTCCTGGATTCTAGTTGGAGATATTTTTAGTATGACCAAAAAAGGCAAAGAGCAAAGAACCTTAGCAGCTGATCTCTCCTAGAACATCCAGAGAAAAACATCTCTCCTTTCCTCTCATTCTGCCCTCCCTTCTTCCCATTTTGTAAACATGAGAGTGCATGTTGTCTCAAATACTCTAGACTCTATGTGTAGATCTACTGGTCGATGTTAACATTCGTGTGACTTGAAACCTGAAGGGATATTAAATGCAAAGTAATTAAGGATAAAGTACAGTCTTCTGGTCAATATCATGCTTACGGCCATTCATATAAATCCACAAATATGGCTTGTGATGCAGCCTGGAATTAACATGACATCGAGTTTGTTCATTTAAGCAAGAGGAGAACTTAAATAGTTGGGTGGTTCATGATCAGTTTGTATGTTGAGCTTATTTTCTTTGTTAACTGTAATGTGATACCTGATCTTTCTTTATTTCTTGTGTTCTTCACTTCAGATGAGGCCAAAATAAAGAAACCCCCACCCAAAACGCTTCCTAAACAAGGTAGGGTCAAATCAGTCATCATCTGCTTGGTTTAAAGATAAATTCTGTGTTAAACTACTTTCAAATGTGACCCTGGATCACAAAACCAGTCATAAGGGTCAATTTTTTGAAATTGAGATTTATGCAGCATCTCAAAGCTGAATAAATAACAAGAAAAATCAATTATTTTGACCCATACAATGTCTTTTTGGCTATTGCTACAAATATACCCCAGCGACTTAAGACTGCATGCTTTTGTGCTCCAGGGTCACAAATAATTGTGTCCCTTTTGTTTGAAAAAAAAAAATAAAAAATGCCAATGGGGTAAGAAAAATAATCTTAATTCAAGGGGAAAATCATTGTTACAGATTTATTAAAACAGCAATGCATGATAAGTTCCTCCACCTAAGAGTAGTCCCACCTCAAAATGATGGTTTAGATTGTAAAGCTAACAAACATATTTATGTTCAATAACAAAAATACTACCTGCACATTTCGGCAAATTACAGATGCTGTTAAAACATAATCTAAGTTTTGTCCTGAAACAGTATTTTTTTCAATACATTTCTAACCCCTGTGCAAGTAAATGGATCTTCAGCAAACATGCTATAAATAGAGCCCAAATTGTCAGTATACTTGGATTGTGTGTGTCAGGTGCTCCTCCTCAGATCCAGCAGTTTCCTGACGATATAAAGATCCGGGCGGGTCATGAGGTCAGTCTGCTGTGTCAGTTCACTGGAACTCAGCCCATCAGCTGCACCTGGCTCAAATTCCGCAAACCAGTAAGAGTCCTTTCACCTTTTAACATGTGCAGAAACCCTGAGCAAAAGAGAACGACTGCTGAATGTTTTATTCTTAAACACGCAGATGACACATGAACTCACTCACCAGTCCTTTTTTAAATGCTTTGAGTAACACTAGGGGCAGTCGTGGCCTAATGGTTAGAGAGTCGGACTTGTAACCCGAAGGTTCGAGTCTCGGGTCCGGTAGGGATTGTAGGTGGGGGGAGTGAATGTACAGCGCCCTCTTCCACCCTCAATACCACGACTGAGGTGAGACCCTTGAGCAAGGCACCGAACCCCCAACTGCTCCCCGGGCATCACAGCAAAAATTCAAATGTTCATGGTGTGTGTGTGTTCACTACTCACTGCTGTGTGTGTATGTGTGCACTTGGATGGGTTAAATGCAGAGCACAAATTCCAAGAGTATGGGACACTTTCAAGTTGTTTTTTTTATATATATTGGTGTGTCCAAAAATGCTGTCTGGGTAGGCAGCTCACAGCTTTTCAGAAACCGCCATCATCCTTAATGACCAAACACTGCAAGCACTGGCATATCCCTCTGTACACATGGCTCAGACACAAAATGTTAGTTGAAAACATCTTTGTTACTCGCATTTATTCCATTTAGTTGACTTTCCAATTAAACGGAACATTTGGAGTAGCCTGTGTCTACAGCTAGCAGGTGTGTTCATGTTGGTTCTGCGCATCCTTTGCTCCTTCAGATTCAGGAAGGTCAGGGCATCTCGGTGGTGAGCACAGACAGCAGCAGTCAGCTGACCATCACAGAAGGACAGCAGGAGCACTGCGGCTGCTACACCATCGAGCTCAAGAACAGCCACGGCGTGAGACAGGCCGCACTCAACCTCACTATAGTCGGTAAGTGTGGACACTAGTGAACACTGGGGCATCTGGGAGTCATTACATGAATTTCACAACATTTGATAAAGCACAAAAATGTACTTTCAAATACCAACTAAAAGACGGAGGTGTTCACACAGGACGGGATTGTATTTGTCAACATAAATGTGTTCTACCCAAGATGAGATTTGTTAAAACACCAGAGGGAGAGACATTTTCATGACAATGTCATCAGCAAATTTTACTGTAGGAATACAGTGCAATACATATAAAATGAACAGTAAATATAGAGATAGTTCTTTAAACTGAATGAACTAAATTACATGAATTTTTTACTTCTTGAATTTATTTAAACAATTTAGAGGCCCTGTGAGAGGATTTAGATTTTTGATCTGTCCTTACAAAATTTGTACAGTATTCCATCATGCCATGCACATTTTACAAGGCTGCTTACAGTAGTTGACAATAAACAAATGAAGTACTTGAGTAAAAGTACAGATACCCTGATAAAATATTACTCCAGTAAAATTATAAGTGCTCATTTTCAATTTTTACTTGATTAAACAAGCAAAAGTACTTGATATTTAATAGACTGAAGTATAAAAAGTAAAACATTCTAGAACCATGTTTATTTATTCTAGCCAGAACTAGTCAATAAAAAAGATGCAGTGCAGACATTTAATTTGCATTGCTTTAATATAATTAAATAGCTTCAATTTAAGTTACTGATCATTCTAGTTTGCAAACAATTGAAAAACTAAATTTAAACAGAGGGAAAACTAAATTTGTGTAAATAGTTAGTGACAAATTATATATAAAAAAAATCAGATTGGCAGATTCACATTGAGAAAGAATGTGTTAACAGGAATGCTATGCAAACATGTTTTATATCATTTGAAACTAACAGCGGAGAAGATCATCAGTTCAAAATAACGAGGAACGATATGTGGTTTTGTTGTTGTTGTTGTTGTTGTTTTTCAAATGTAGTGGAGTAAAAGTTTCCCAAAATAAAAATAGTCTGATAAAGTACAGATACTTTAAAAATGTACTTAAGTACAGTAATAAAGTAAGTATGCTTCATTGCTGTCCACCTCTTGCTGATTATAATGCTGAAAAGAAAATCAAAATCAAAAATGCTGTGAATGAAAGAGCAGTGACAGTGACTATAGATAATCTCACCTCATATTGAGGATGGCAGTAGATATTAAAACTGTACAATGACCACTTATAGACATTAGACCTAAAATGTTTGCCATAATATTAACCCATTTACTTACTTTTGCACACCATGTCTGAATGAAATTCACACCTTAATTCTACCCCATACCTTATCCGATGTGTAAAATCATACAGAAATTGACTTTAAAAATCAGTAGCAGTACAGTACTGCCTGGCATTAATGGTTTAGAAATGATTTTGATGTTTGACCTAAGACTAAAATGACAATACACTCTCAGAACACGGACTGTATCTTCTGTTACAACCACACTGAAATGCTAGCTGCCAAGTAGTGCACTTGTAGGTGATCTGACCTCTCTGTTGAATTTTAGGACACAATGTCTCTCAATCCAGCTTTTATCTTGGCCTTCACAGATAAACCCGACCCCCCTGCCCGCGTCCCAGCAGCCTCCGACATCCGTAAGTCCAGCCTCACACTGTCCTGGTACGGGCCGACATACGACGGCGGCAGCGCCGTCCAGTCCTACAACCTGGAGACGTGGAGCTCTGTGGACATGAAGTGGACAGATCTGGCGTCCTGTAACAGCACCTCCTATAACGTGCAGAACCTGCTTCCAGACAGACAGTACAAGTTTCGAGTGAGAGCAGTGAATATTTATGGTGTGGGAGAGCCCAGTGCCGAGTCTGCGCCCGTGCAGGTGGGGCTGGAGGCTGAAGGGGGTGAGCACCACCTAGTGCATGTCAAGAGTTTTATAGGAGTCACAAAGAAGAGAGTACAATGTTAACTTTGGTTATTTCAGTAAATAAAATAAAATGAAATTGATATAAAAAATGAAATATGCTGTAATAACATTCTGTTGCTTTTACAGAAAATAAGGAAGATGAAGCTGAGCCCTCAGATGACGGTAGGTGTCATGTTTGTGAAATTGAAGTTAAAATCGTTACTGTCATTTTTATTTCTATTTTACATTACATTTAGAGGAAATGGTGAGGTTGTACATATAACCAAACGTGTCATATAGAACATATATGTTCTATATGACAGGTCGATCCTGTTAGTACTGGTGTCCCTCAGGGCTCATTACTTGGTCCCTTGCTTTTCAGCATTTATATTTTTCCTCTTAGGCAATTGTTAAGATCTCTCGACCTTAACTACCATTTTTACGCTGACGATACCCAGATTTACATCCACTCTAATCCGGGCCAAGATGTGAATATTTCCCATCTCTCATACTGTCTCTCTGAGATGAAGTTGTGGATGTCTGAAAATTTCTTGTGTTTGAATAGTTCCAAAACAGAAGTTATGCTTCTCGGCTCTCCCCATAAATTGCATAATGCTGGATCTTTAGCTTTGTCGGTTGATGGTGTTGCTCTGGAGTTACAAAGAAAATAAAAAAATCGGGGCGTTATTTTTTATCCCAGCTTGTCATTTGAGCCTTTTGTGCTGAACACTGTTAAGACCTCGTACTTTCATCTCAGAAATATTGTTGCTCTGTTGCTGAAAGGTTAATTAATTATTTTGTCTTTTCTCGTTTAGATTACTGTAACGTCCTTCTTATTGGAGTCTCTAAATCTTGTATTAACAAACTACAATATTTACAAAATTCAGCAGCTAGAATTCAGTCAGGGGCCAGGGTTGTTGATCATATAACTCCTGTTCTGGAACTGTTGCATTGGCTCCCGGTTAGATTCCGTATTGATTTTAAAGTTCTCATGTTAACATACAAGGCACTGCATGGTCTGGCTCCTCAGTACTTGGCTGAGCTTTTAATTCCCTATACACCTAGTCGCAATTTGCGATCTTCTTAGAGTGGTCGTTTAGTCGTTCCTAAAACACGGCTGCGTTCTGGGGGTGATCGGGCATTTTCATCTTACGCCCCCAAATTGTGGAATTCTCTCCCGGCTGACATCAGGGAAGTAAATTTGTTAGGCATTTTTAAATCTCGTCTTAAAACTTTTTATTTTCGTCTTGCTTTTAACTGATTGTTATTCTGTATTTTTGTGTATTTGGATTGTTGTGTTTGCTTGTGTTGTAAAGCGCTTTGAGAACGTACTCTTTTAACGGCGCTATACTAAATAAAATGTATTATTATTATTATATGTATAAAGAAAGATATGGAAGGAAGGAAAAGTACAGAAAAACCTTGTGCATCTTAAACAATTGCATAGTTCATATTACTCTCAAGTTTTTACTTTTATATATTGTTTCCAAATACATTTTAATGTCAGTCTTAAATTGTTCAAACATAGGCATTTTTCAAATCATTTGAACTTACGAATATAATAACGAGCAAATGTAATAATTAAATAAAAAAATAAACATTAACAATCTTAGGTTTTTTTAAATTAAAACAAATAAATAAAATTTCCCAGAATAAATGAGGGGCATCTTTACATCTTCATGTTGATGTGTATTTGAAAAGGTGATTCTCTCGTGCTAGTAATCCGAGACAAAGAGGTTGTAAAATGCACATGATTCTCAGTTTTATGCTGTTAGAATGTGATATTACATTCTGAATTATTACAGGAAGGTTTTTCAAAACCCATATGCACTGAGATTTCAAAGTTTCAAAGAAAAAAAAAAAAAGAATTAAATATTGCAATTTGACTGATTATAGACAATCTAGAATGACAGGGATCCATTTCCTCTCATTTCACCACAGAATCAGAGAAGGAACCGGATTACAGAAATGTGACTATCAGGACAGACGTGAAGGTGAAGGACCTGTATGATGTGGAAGACAGACTGGGCTCGTGAGTATGACAGCAGATCAATAAAATGGGGTAAATTATTTGATATTACCGTACCATAAGGGAACCAGTAACAACATTCAGCTGGCATCCCTCTATTTTTCTCTTGTTCTATAATCTGTCTAATAAAAGGCAAAAACAAGTGTGAGTTTATTAAACATGATAAAAGAAAATTAGGTTCTGAAAGTTTGCATTTCTGAGTTTTATTTCTTTCTTTTTTTTCAGAGGGAAATTCGGGACTGTTTTCAAACTGATAGAAAAGTCCACTAAAAAGGCGTGGGCTGGCAAATTCATAAAAGCGTATTCTGCCAAAGAAAAAGAAAATGTCAGACAGGAAATTGCAATCATGAATGACCTGCATCACCCAAAGCTTGTGCAGTGTGTCGACGCTTTTGAGGGAAAGACTGACATTGTAATGGTGCTGGACATGTAAGTGTAACGTTGTTTTATAATCTTCTAATTGCAGATGTCAGATTAGTGAATCTGAATTGGACTGTTTTCTAGTTCTTTGCCTCACACCGGCTTAGTTACTTGACTTCAAAATTAATATATCAAGCCTGTAATAAGCTCACAACAGCTCAAAAAAGAATGTTAACCCCCAGTATTAGTGACTGTTGTTTTCAAATACACATTTTTATACACCTGTTTATATAAAACAAATGTTTTAACTGAAATGACTTGGCAGTGTCATTGTCATGTTACAGTATGTCAGCCTGTCATGCAAAACAGTGTTTTAATTCCTTTAGTCTTGATCAAGGACAGTTTATAGATCAATGTTTGTTCGTTACCTGCAGATAACTAAAAAAGTGTATTCTGGCAAAGTCACTACAAGCACATCATGCCATTTCGATTTCTGAACTTCCTTTGATGGGCTGAAGGCCAGAAGTCCCAGAGAATTGCTAAATAAAGTCATAAATTGAGTTTTATCAAGGTTAATTATGTTCCTGTTCGAGGTTGTCAGTATTTCACTGGATGTCAGCAGTGCATACACTCTAAAAAATGCTGGGTTAAATACAACCCAGTGCTGGGTTGAATTTCATCCATAAGAAAGGCATCGTCCACCTGGATCTCAAACCTGAGAACATTATGTGTGTCAATAAGACCGGCAGCAAAATCAAACTCATTGACTTTGGACTAGCACGCAGACTCGGTCAGTATAAAAACCTCAGACTTGGTTTGTTTCGTTTTTTTTTATTTTATGGGGTTTTAGCATTTTGTATGTATGTACACTGCCGTTCAAAAGTTTGGGATCAGTATTTAAAAAAAAAAAGAAAGAATAAAAATTTACTGACTGCAAACTTTTGAACTGTAGTGTATATTGTTAGAAAAGTAAGAAATTTCTATTTTAATAAATGCTCTTCTTTTAAACTTTTTATTCATCAAAGAATCCTGAAAAAAAGTATCACAGGTTCCAA